CCAATCTAAAGGTTTCTCGCCATCATTCAAAACATGTAGCTTATCATAGAGGGTACCGTTTGTCATGTGCTTATAGACTAAGAGTCTTTCTTTCTTACTCATGCAATAGCCGAGAAGCGGAACCAAATTCCGATGCTTTAAATTTCTTAGAGTGGCCATCTCAGACACAAATTCTTTCTCTGATTGTTGAGTATCCTGCAATCTCTTCACCATAAGAGACGTGCCATCTTCAAGTACTGCTTTGTACATTGTCCCTGTTCTTCCTGACCCAATTATATTCTCTTTGCTGAAGTCATTGGTAGCCTTCATGAGATCATTTAGTCTCATTTTGGAAACAGACTTCTCAAACATTGAAAGCTGAAACAAGAAGATAAGACCATTTGTGTTAATCTTTCCTTGTATAGAGAAAATCAAATAAAAATAAATCTTATAAAAACAGGCAGCAATACTAAAAGGTTCTATTCTTTTGGGCACCTACAGATTCTACATGAAGAGGACAAATTATATAAATAAATAATTATTATATATAAAAGCAGAAATTCCAAGAAAATATAGGCCTATCTTGCCTTGATGCCTTTTGAACCCTTCATACTCTTTGCCCATTTGTTGCCCAAAGGATCTCCTTCCTTCTTCTTTCTAGCCATCTTGCGCGCATAGAAGAACATGCCAATACTCACACCAAAAGCTGCAATAGCCACCCCAATAATTGGTCCAATGTTGGTTTTCTTGGAAGCACCTTGGCAAGGCGTCAACGTAACTCCACACAGTCCTGCATTATTGACATAGCTCTCTGCAGTGATACTAGCATTGTCTAAGAAGATCGGAACTGGCCCAATCAATCTGTTGTTTGACACACTAAATTCCTTGATTCTGTTAAGTTGACCAAGCTGTGCAGGGATTCGACCTGCTAAGTTGTTGTTGTTAAGTTTGAGGTCATTCAGGTAAGTGATATTGGAGAGTTCTGCAGGAATCTCTCCGGATAACTCATTGTTGGAAAGATCAAGGCTCGTCAGAAATCCAACTATATGAGAGATGTTATTTGGAATATTTCCATAGATTTTGTTATTAGAAAGATCTAACCCTGTCGTGGACGAACAACCAGCAACACCTAATGGAAACGTGCCCTTAAGTCCCATGTCTCCCAGCTTGATATTCAAGACCCTATTCTCATCCGGATGCCAACAGTCAATCCCAATGAATTTACAGATGGACCCTTCAGTATTATTATGTTCGAAATTTCATGTTGTTAAGTAACTGTCTGGGTCTTTCAAAGAAGATTTTATAGCTTGTAGGCAGTCGATATCGCTCTTAGCAGCATAGCTGAAAGATTTACCGAAGAGTAACCAAATAAAAATTGCGAGAATAGGGAGAGCTCTAAAACTGAAGACCGTCATCATGATGAAAGCAGCCATAACCCAGAAAGAACGAAATATGTCAATCGACTTAAGGTGTTGCTTTTACACACGGAAACAAATATACTAGTCACCGAGAAGCAGGCCTCATAAGTTTGGTTGCTGAAACAAATTCAAGATCAACACAACCAAAATTCAGAACTAAGATTAAAAATTCAAAAAACTTTTAGGTGGAGTAAAAAATAATGATTAGGGGATGAATGTAAAGTAACAACAGAAATTATTTCAAACGATAGACAATCAAATGCAAAACAACTTCATCTATGACCATTGTACCACTAAGAGGCTGAAAATATGCAGAAATCTCCAACCCTAGGGGAAAAATAGTGCAGACGAGAAAAGGCAAGTTTAAGGTGCAACATATTTCCAGATTTTTCACAACTACTTAATTATCAAGTTTGCGAGTTGGAAGAATACTCGAATTTCATTAGATAAAGAGAACACATAAGCATTCAATTGAATTTAGTCAATATAACAGTACAGCTTCCACTTCCAACAACATCAAATCCTAATTATGAGAAAAGAAAAAAGTGCAAATATTGACGAATGATATGGCCTATATAGGAACACAGAGTAAACTATTTCCTAGTAACTAAATCGTGAAATTAGGAAAGTGATAAGTGTGTTTTTGCACACTTAGTTAGATTACAAACATGACTTAAATACAAACAAAATGATTGAATTGTGACTTAATCTCATTGAATTCATGCAATGTAGGTGTTTCTATGAAAATAGTGGAATTCAGGATAAGAGAGCTGAAAAGGGACTAAAATGGAGCAAAGTGATAGTTCAGGGACTAAGGATGCAAATATTTGAAAGTTGAACTAAAAGACAACTCGGGAATACAAATATGCTAAGTATGAACTCGAAAGCAATATAAGATGATTGGACGAAGAAGGAATTGCAAAGGGACTAAAATGAATTAAACTGAAAGTTCGGGAACCAAGTTGCAAATAAATCATAGATGAGACGGGAAATGGAATGAAGATTCAAGAGTGTTAGAAGTCAATCGGATGAGGAAAGGAGTCACAAGGTGAAATAGGGTCGAAGTATTATCAAGTATCAACTTTCAGGCGAAAAAACTATACTCGTGATTTTTAGTATCTAGTTGAAATCTATTTTTCGTATAGTAAACATCAGAATTTGAGGAAGTCTATTTCTATCAAAAATGTAGATCTTTGAGTTTTCTTCTCAATACACTTTGAATCACTTGAATTGAAGATCAGACGAGAGAGTTATGATCAAAATACTAAAAGCTGTCCGGCGGAAAGAATGTATGCCTATGCGGTCGCATAGAAGCCTCCCGAGAACTTTTTCTCAAATTTTTTTACTCTATGCGACAGCATAGGTTATGCCTATGCGGTCGCATAGGTATAATCTGGGGGCCGTTTTGCAGTTTCCTTATACGATTGAAACTCCTTTGGTAACCTAATTTCCACGCGATTTAAATACGAAAGAACGTCCAGAAGAAGGGGAGAACGTAATTGGAGGCACAAAAACAGAATTTTGGAGGATTTGGAGAGGAAGAACAAGGCAAAAACAAGGCAATCCACTTCAAGATTCAAGATTTCACTTCAAGAATCAATCGAGTGATGTTCTTCCTTGGTTTTAATTGTTGTTTTTCTTTATTTCCAATTATGTTAGGCTAGATTTTCATGTGCTAGGAGATCGATGTACCATGTGATTTGAGTTTTATATTTCTAGTTTTGCAATTTGACATTAAATCATATTTCTTTTGTTTTGAACGATTTATATGCATTTATTGTTTCCGCAATTAAGGGCCCGTAATTGTGTGAGTTTGGGTGATTTATTCTTGCATTCGAGAGAATTGGAATAGATTCGACATAATATAAATCATCGCAGGGTCCGATAGGGGATAGAAATATACCGCTATGCCCTACGTGAATCTTTAAGTGTTCATAAAACTACATGCATTTTTACATACGCACTTGTCATAGAAATATAGGCCGGTGGTATGTAGAAATAGGTTTGATACATCTCGAGAGAGAGTATTGGATAGACTTAGGAACATTGATTCGTCAACAATTGAATTATGTTGTCATATTGTGAAACTAGAGTTTAAAGTGATAATTGCATGGGAAATCGTGATCCTAGTGCGTTTAATTTCTATTGATTACAACAAACGTGCGTTCTCAACAATTGATTTCATTTTAGAGTTTTAAATTATTGTTTTGCTTATTAATTTCATTACAATCATAAAAGCTGCATAAGTGGGATTTTCTTTCCAATTTTAGAGTTTTAATTAAGTCCACGTTCATTTTGAGTAATTTGGTTTCGGTTAAGATCGAATAAGTAAAATTGAACTAACCAATCTCTGTGGGACGATACTCGGACTCATTGAATCCACTTTATTACTTGTTAACGAACCGTACACTTGCGGTAATTTAAATCGAAAGAAAATATTTCGTGAACAGAAAGCAAGAACAAAAACCCACATGAGTTGACTCAATTATGCGCCTCTGCATATAATAAAGAAATCTTCGAAAGAAATTAAAGAAACCCACCTCAGATACCACAAAAGGGGGGGATCATATGTGAAAAAGCAATAGTTCGACCCAACTAACACTTAGAGGGGAGGTGAATAGGTGTTTATGCGGAATTAAAACAATTAATTAACTGATGCAACAAGTCACATCAATTATGCATTGCGTAGATTCATTCACATACTTTATCTACTTAAGTTGAATTTTCGGTTGAAAAATAAATAACAGAAAGCAGTAAAAACACAACAAAATGTTGACGGAGAAAATCCAACTGGGTAAAAACTCCGGGCACAAGCCAGTAGAGATCCACTATAGAAGATATTGACTTACAGTACGTCAGACATTATTGATTCTAACAATATTCTAACCTCCTTACTGTATCGACCACAGCTATTCTGGATTTTGCAGATCTGCACCAAAATTCCAGCTTTGAATATCTTCTACCTCCCGTGAATCACCAAGCACTCCAGTTCTTCAAGCAATTTCCTTCCCGGATCTTCAAACAGATGATCTTCTGGAAGTTTATATGGAGATATGAAAGGATGTTTTGGTTTTGTGAGGGTTGATGTTTTTATTCAAAGAACCATGAGAATCAAAGATAAAAAGGATGAATTTATTTTGGTTCTTGATCCTTTGGAAGTTGAGAGGAATTGTTGTTTTAATGTTTGCCAAAGATGTCTAATGAAAATCGGTCGTTTTGTTTATATAGTAGGTCGAATTTGGTAATATAGAGCGTTAAAAATTCGCGAGGCATTAAAATTATCAAAGGCCAGATAACATAGTCGCTCGAGCGAGGTCCTGGCGAAACTCGAGCGACGTACCTTCGCTCAGGCGATAGACCAGCGAAACTCCAGCGAGGTCAGTTCTGCAATTTTGGCTCTAGCAAGGTAAGGGTGAAACTCCAACGACATCAACGCGCCGTTTGCATCTTCAAAGCATCCCACTTTACCCTAGACCTATGCTATGACCTTTACTAAATTGCAACTTTAGTCCCTGAACTATTTGACATGTACAATTTAGTCCTTGACTTTACAATTTTGACAAATAGGTCATTTGATCACAGATTGCCAATTACACATTTTCCTAACTATGAATCTTTAGGTACTTATTTCCCTGATACATCCAACAAAAGCCTCAGGTTCTTGGTTGTTCCAAATCAGCTTCCATT